GTAAATTAGATTGAAGTAAGCTTAATGAAGCAAATGAATGGACAAGAGTGGTGTGTCCTGTAGCCAATAGTAAAATAAATTATTAAGAGGGCTAATACTATTGACCAGTCATGAAATTTAAAAACTGGTTTTGTATATCCTTGCTTCATTTATTTTATTTATTTTCTCTTTTTAGAGAAAAATGACATTTGTTTTCAATTAGTTTAAAATTTTACTTAGAGCAGCACGGTGGCGCAGCGGGTAGCACGTATGCTTCACAGCAAGAAAGTCGCTGTTTCGAGCCTCTGCTGGATCAGTTGGCATTTCTGTGTGGAGTTTGCATGTTCTCCCTGTGTTCGCCTGGGTTTCGTCCGGGTGCTCCGGTTTCCGCCACAAGGCCAAAAACATGTGATATAAGTGAATTGGGTCGACTAATTTGTCCATAGTGTATGTGATCTTGTTAAATACAAAAACAGAAATGCTTTTATTCCAGCCCAAAAGAAGACAATACATAAATAAAATTAATTACTGTGAATTATTTCCTTACTCTGTTAAACAGCACTTGATTCATATTTTAAAAAGAATAACAATTTCACAAGAGGGCTAATAATTTACATAACTGTACATGAACACTGTTTTAATTTCACAAGATACTAATCTACTTTTATATGGAAAGATAACAGAATTACTGTAGACTTCAATAAACATCTTAAATGCTTATTTTCAGATGGGCCACTAAAACGGCAGATTTTTGTCAAATTGCAGCGCCCCCTGTTGTCTACAAAATGAAACATCTCCAATATTTTTGTAAAGGATTATGCTGGCTTTAAAACAAACTCTATTAACATTAGGACAGTTACAAAACACAATATTATTTTTGACTTGTTCCTCAGTTGGTATAAAAACCAAAATTTGTTTATAGCAACAGACAAGACGTGAATTTAAAAACAGAAATATTCATCTCATTTTTAAAAGGATTCATTAACTCTTGCATAAAAGTTATGTGGTAACACTTTGCTGTTAAACGTTCTGTATACATGCTACAGTAATTACAATTATGCATAATTACATGCAACTAAATTAAATAATGTTACTCAGTATTTGTAATAAGGACATGTTAAAATAAAGTGTGACCAAGTTTGTTTTGATCAACACACTACAGTAGTAATGCTCTTGTTTTTTTTTTTGTGCATTACATACTGAAGTTATTGTTTACTGGCTTTACAAGCTGTGTATTATTAGTTTGAGTGTGGTTTGAAAGACGCATTCGGTCGACATCAATCGCATGCCTTTGTAATGAACGCAGAGAATTCAGGGAATGTTTTTGAGGATCTAAATTTAGTTTGAATTGAAGTGTCAATCAACGGTTTCTATATAGGATGGTACTCACGTCATTTCAATGCTATGACGGTTTATGAGTTAACACTCTGAAGTCGTGGTTGTTGCTAGAATGGATACAGCCGCAGCCGGAAGTTAAAAATATTTATATTAGTTATTAAATTACCCATTAAATGTATTTTATTAACCTACTTCTACCCTAACCCTAAACTTAACTGGCAAAGTAATGTTAAAACATTAATTATACAGTATTAATAAGTATTATTACTAATAATTGTAACAAAAATTGTTTGAATTTTTATCAATATTAAATATAATAATATTCAATTGTATTTTATTAATCTTTACCCCTACCTCAAGCAAAATTCTACCCGTTCCATTAATGTAAAAACAAAGTATTGGTGTACAGTGTGACAAATTTTATGCTATACTGATGTTAGTTTTCTCAGCTGTATCCCTTCTAGACATTACCTGCAGGTCGTGGTAAAGCAAATGGAAAGTCAACAGGTCGTAACAAAAAACCTGTGGTTTCTATGGCAACTGTTGTCCATCTGTGGCCCTCCACCTGAAGCACTACTATCATCTAGCACACTTCTGTTACATAGAGAAATAAAATTTAACGAGCTCAGAAATAGTACTTTAGTAATGTTGGAATTTCATATGAATGGAATATACAGACTCACAATTCTTCATTACATATACAGGAAAATTAAAAATAATATATATTTGTATTTACAAACGTAACTTGATATACACAAATATTTCATATTCTGAAATACTGGTAATTGCTTTCTGTTTTTGGTAACTGGATTTGACCAATAAATAAATAAATAAATAAATAAATAAATAATTGTAAAGAGAGAATGTAGCATATTTTAGAATCATCAACATCATCATTATTCAATTTTATTCTAATTATTATTTTGTACAGCAGTGTTAGTGTAGTTTCACTGGGATTTTTTAAAATATATTTAGTATTATCTTTTTACATTCGAATTTATAATCATGACAATAATACCAATAGAACTCTACGTCATGGTAATAATGTAGTAGTATATAAATGTGTGTGTGTGTGTGTGTGTGTGTGTATGTGTGTATATATATATATATATATATATATATATATATAATTCTGACTTCAACTGTATTTATATATTTATATATATATATATTAGCCCCGCTGAATTATTAGCGCCCCTGTTAATTTTTTTCCCCAATTTCTGTTTAATGGAGCGAAGATTGTTTCCGCACATTTCTAAGCATAATAGTTTTATAAACCTATTTCTAATACCTGATTTATTTTCTCTTTGCCATGATGACAGTAAATAACATTTTACTTTATATTTTTCAAGACACTTCTATACAGTTTTAAGTGACATTTAAAGGCTTAACTAGGTTAATTAGGTTAACTAGGCAGGTTAGGGGAATTAGGCAAGTTATTGTATAACAATGGTTTGTTCTGTAGACTATCGAAAAAAAATTAGCTTAAAGGGGCTAATAATTTTGTCCCAAAAATAGTTTAAAAAAAATTCAAAACTGCTTTTATTCTAGCCAAAATAAAACAAATAAGTATAATAAATATTATCAGACATACTGTGTAAATTTCTTTGCTCTGTCAAACATCATATGGGAAATATTTAAAAAAGAAAAAAAAAATCAAAAGGGGGCGAATAATTCTGACTTCAACTGTATATCTTTACTGTTTAACTTTTTTTATCATTATGGTGTATGGGAATTCTTTAGGAAAATACATTATTACAATGATGTAGAGTTCCATTACTATTACTATATATATATGATGGCTTGATTTTGAATTTTATTTAAGACAGTAATGTCTGACTTTGCTTAGACAAAAGTCTTGTCACTTACAGAAATAATGTCCAGTATACAAAATAAAGTCATGCTGCAGTGGAAACAGACTAAATATTGTGTCTGACTCCATCATGAGCTTGGAGGACTGCATCCATACATCTCTGCAATGACTAGAATAACTTATAAATAAAGTCATCTGGAATGGCAAAGAAAGCGTTCTTGCAGGACTCCCAGAGTTCATCAAGATTCATTGGATTCATCTTCAACGCCTCCTCCTCCATCTTACCCCAGACATGCTCAATAATGTTCATGTTTGGTGACTAGGCTGGCCAATCCTGGAGCATCATGACCTTCTTTGCTTTCAGGAACTTTGATGTGGAGGCTGAAGTACGAGAAGGAGCGCTATCCTGCTGAAGAATTTGCCCTCTCCTGTGGTTTGTAATGTAAAGGGCAGCACAAATGTCTTGATACCTCAGGCTGTTGATGTTGCCATCCACTCTGCAGATCTCTCGCACGTCCCCATACTGAATGTAACCCCAAACCATGATTTTTCCTTCACCAAACTTGACTGATTTCTATGAGAATCTAGGGTCCATGCAGGTTCCAGTAGGTCTTGTGCAGTATTTGTGATGATTTGGACGCAGTTCAACAAATGATTCATTGGGAAAATCTACCTTCTGACACTTTTCCAAATGATCAACTACAAGTCAAGTTATTATTTGCTGCTCTTACAACTATGATCGACGACAAGACTTTTGTCAGCTAGTAGTAATGTAATAATGTGGGCGTTTTGTAAAGTTTCTGTGGGATATTAATTATTGTGAAAGGTGCCACGCAAATAATTGAATTCAATGATAAAATCCACTATACAGTTTTACTGTTTCCTCTATTTTAAAACTCTCATCTGCACAAACATTATAAAAAGCACCAACGCACAACGAACACCATTCTTCATCCAGTTCTAAACTAGACTTTTATTTTACAAAATGTTTCTTTTTTTTGAGCTTCACAATAGTATTCATATATCCGCTTGTTAAGTGATGACGTATGTAATACTGTTTCCGGGTCCAAGCCGTCATTCATTTGAGTGGAGAAATCATCGTTTATGATCACGTTTTATTCCTACCACACATTAAAGTTAATTTTATATAAAGTCATAGTGTACACAACAATCTCTGCTGCATAACAAATACCAAAAATTTAACAATTAAAAAAAAAATGAATCACTTTCTGACATCGGATATTAGACATGGACATAAATACTGCAATCGTGATTTTCGAAAGTATTTAATCGCTTTGTAAATGTTTATTATTACCATTTCATGAGTCTCTCCATTCAGTTGAATAGAGCGCTTGGACCCGGAAGCCGCTTGGCGTGACCTCACACTTGACAAGCGAATTCACCATATGGGGCGGCGCAGTGGGTAGCGATGTTGCCTTACAACAAAAAGGTTGCTGATTCGAGCCTCGGCTGGGTAAGTTAGCATTTCTGTGTGGAGTTTGTATGTTCTACCCTTGTTGGCGTGGTTTTCCTCTGGGTGCTCCGGTTTCCCTCACAAGTCTAAAGACATGCGCTGTAGGTGAATTGGGTAAACTAAATTGTCCGTAGTGTATGTGTCAATGGGAGTGTATGGGTGTTTTCCAGTGATGCAGCTGGATGGGCATCCGCTGTGTAAAACGTATGCCCGATGAGTTGGTGGTTCATTCCGCTGTAGCGACCCCAGATTAATAAAGAGACTAACCCGAAAAGAAATGAATGAATATTCAAGATATTCCATAGTAAACAGCCGGCAAAACAAAGAAACTCCCCAAATTAGTCAAGAAAAAAGTAGTTAATGGCTGCAAGTAAAGGCAAACAGACGAGACGCCTGTGAGGTCAGAGGAGCTCGAGACTCGATGCGCTTTTATTGGTGGATAACTCTGACAAATAAAATAAAAAATACACTCACATTCACACACTCGAAACATTTTCCTCCAACACATTGAGAGTAAAATAAAAATAAAACACAACTAGTCGCGCCGTAAACACTGAGGAGAGAGGTACAAGTGAGAGAGCAGGAAATATTCCTAGAAATATTGCAACATCGCTGCCGTATGGAAAGACATACATATAAATATAAGAATACTCTATCCATTTAGAAAAAGGAGAGTGCAAACCGTTCCTTAATACTCTCAATACATCTGAGAATAAATGTGTGTGTGTGTGTGTGTGTGTGTGTGTGCTGTATTCTCAATAGTGTGCTGATGCTCACTAGTCAGGAAAAAGTGAGGGAGAGAAAAGACAGAGATGAAGTGGTTGTGGCTACTGAGGTGAGTGCTGCGTCCTGATTGGTGGCTCTAGAGGCCGGTGTCGTTGTAGGTGGGGCTTGGAACCTTCAGGATGCTTTGTGCGTTTTCCTCCAGCAGGGGGCGCCATTTGACCTCTCCTGTTAACAGCAGATCCTCCCCATCCAGAGCGTCGATGAACTGCATCTGTGTGGACAAAAGAACAACGGAGGAAATCAGGACTGCTATATAATGAAAGCATACTTTGAGCAATAATCTAATCTGTTTTGAGGTGCAGTGAAAAAAATGACAGTTGGATTTACTATTTTTTTTTACTTAAAGGGAAGTTGCAAACAATTCATATGGGCTGAATTTAAACAACTTAAATTTAGTTCAACTTAATTTGTATAAATTCAGCCATATAAACTGTTTGCAATCACTAAAAAAATGGTAAATTCAATTAATCCTGTTTTGTGGGGTAATTTGTCATGTTTTTAATCATATTTTGTTGTGTTATAAAGTGTTTTCCAACAGCTGATGACTTTGATATGCTAACTTGTGTTTTCTGCTAGTATAATTACTGTTCATAAATGACTTGGTGGTTTCTTAATGTGATTGTTTTGTGTGCTGAAAGCATGCACACGTTTCACATGGCAATTAAACTTCATAACCATAATCATATTCAAAAATTTTTGCCGCAAAATATATAATATTAGAATAAATATATTTAAATATAAAAAATAAACACTTTAGATATAATCTTTTTACTATTTATATACATTTTTTAATAAAAAAATATATATATCCATATATATATTTCCATATATATATATTTTATATATATTTCCATATATATATTTACAATTCAGTAGGCCTGCATCTGTGTGGACAAAACAACAGCGGAGGAAATCAGGATTGCTTTTTATTAGATTTTTTTTGGCTTTTTATTGGATCAACTTTTTTTGAGGTAAGCGGTTGCAAACAATATGGGCTGAATTTAAAAAACAAATGTAATCCAAAAAAAAAATAAATAAATAAAAAAAAAAATATATATATATATATAAATATATATATATATATATATATATATATATATATTTTTTTTTTTTTTTTTTTTTGTGGGTGTAAGCTGTCATGATTTTAATCATATATATTTTGCAAAGTTATAAAGTGTTTACTTTAACAATTTTTGTTTACTTCAAGTTTTATGTTTACATGTTTTTTTTTTATCATAATTACTCTTCATGAATGATTTTGTGGTTTCTTAATAGTTTTGTGTGTGTGTGTGTGTGTTAAACTTTGCTAAAAAACATGCTCATGTTTCACAGAGGAATTAAAAAAAGAAAGAAAATTATTATTATTGGAAAAAAGAAAACTTGATAAAGAAAAAAATTGGCCCAAAATATAATAAATATAATATAATTAATATAATATAATATATATTTAAATATAAAAAAACATACGTTATATACATACACACATTTGTTTGTTTGGATCAATTTTTATATTTTTATAATTTTGACTGCATTTTCTAATGTCTATTCTGAAATTTTTCCAAAAGATTTTATACACAATTTCTTGTTTGCATCTCACAATTTATATTTTTTCCCCATCCAATATTCACTGTTAATGATTTTTGTAAATAACAGTTTTTAACTGTAATATAAACTGTATTTACTGTATTTTAAAGTTGCATTGTGAAAATCACTATCTTTTACAGTAAAAATATATATATAAATATATAAGATAAATGATGCTGTAAATGTAAATACAGTATTTTTGCTGTAATAGATTTACAGTAAGTTACTAGCAAAAAACAGGAAATTGTTAACGTTGTTGACTTTGCATAAACAACAAATATTCTGATTTTATACAAAAATTTTTTGCACCTTGCAATTCGGAGAGATCTTCAAGCAACATTTAGATTTTCAGAATTTTTCCCAGATAAATCAATATTTATATCCTGCAATATTTTGTTTTCATGGACATTTGCACATAACCCGAGCATACAGTATAACGTGTATTTCTAGTGTACTCCATACAGGTGAGTGGGTTTGAGAAACCAGCCATAGGATACACTCCCTCCTCTCTTATGTACCATGCACTGAACATCTCTTTTAAATATTTTTATAATTTGTACTTTTTTTTACTCTACATTGAAAGTCCGTAATTAAAAAAATTTTTTTTTGCTTTATTTACTATTGCATAAACATAATTTTGACTTGTTATTATTATTATTTTATTTTGTGGCTGTTACTATTTCAAATATCACGAGTGGTTGTGTACGCATTTCACTGCATATCATACCATGTGTGACTTTTTATGTGACAAATAAAACGTGAAATTAGAAATAAATAAATAAAAAAACATTTCTATTCAGTTTAATATGCAAAACCTTGAAAACAAAACACAAAGTGTTGCAACCAGCCCTACAAAACCTAAGACACTGATTTCTCTAAACTGAAAAGAGGCTGAACCGCACACCAAGTCTGATCAAATCCAGGCTCATTTCACATCATTTCTATGTAAAAGTGCTGTTAAAAAGACAGACCTCAACAAATTCACCTCTTGGTGTTTGAAGCAAAACTAATTCAACCTGGACTATAATGAAGACAGCTGTGCTAATAAATGCAGGACCTGCAAAGTAATTACCAAGCTATGAAAACAACAGACCCAGACAGCTGCAATCATTTTATTCAGCACTGATGCATTAAATTGATCAACATTGACAGTAAAGACACTCATAACAAAAGCTAAAGAGATAGTTCACAGGTGGTAGTAGCACAGGTATGATAATGTGCATATGTTTGCATCTCAAAACATTGATGTTGATGTATAATACTATAAATCAGGGGTGCCCAAACTTTTTCTATAAAGGGCCAAAAAGCAAACTTGATTAAGGGCTGTGGGCCAAATATATATACCAAACATACATATAAAATTTGCCATGGGTAATTAGTAATTAGTAATCCTAATTGGTTCAGTAACATTTAAAAAAATACTAGAAAATGTTGCTTTAAATCATATTAACTAATGCAGTATTATTTAATAATGGACTTATTACAGTACAAACATAAACAATCCCTTGACACAATGGAGTTCGATGTAAAAACAATAGTTGAGCTGCTCCTGCCTTTACCTTGATTTGCTCGCAGATATCTTATGCATTGTCCTCTATCTGTCAAGTGACAGTATTTACATTTTAAAAGTCTGATTCATTTACAACATTTAATTCAATCATTTAATTTCAGTTGGCTTTTTGTAGCTTAGCAGTAAAACAAACAAATTGTTACATTCATTTTGAAATATTGATCTCTGTCAAAAGATCTGTCACGTTCCCATCATTCTCCCTCTCTTTTTAGATGGGATGGTGGGTCAAATCAAAGGTTATTTTGGTCAGCAGGTCCTGCCTGGGGCATCTCTGCTATAAATTAATGAAATACGGTAGTTAACTGTAAAATGTAGAAAAGTATTATACGGTTTGAACCATATTTTTTTTAAATTGGTAAAGTTCTGGCAACCACACCTGCCATTCATTCACCTAATTTGTTATGGATTTGAGCCAGTTGACCATTCTCAATGTCGCAAGAGTTTAAAAACAGAAACTCAAACACACACACGATGATGTCAGAGTAGTGGGTGTGCGTCGAGAGCAATTAGTGTTGAATAAGAGCAGCCAAGCATTAGGGCACTCATACGAACACTCACACACTTTCATTTTATGTGTTACCAAGATGGTGTCTAGCAGGTTGACACTGAGCGCCTACTTAACTTACTGGCCACTTTATTAAGAACACCTGTCCAACTGCTCGTCAACGCAAATTTCTAATTAGCCAATCACATGGCAGCAATTCAATGCATTTAGGCATGTAGACTGAGCCCCTTTCACACATAAAGACCTTTCCTGGAAAATTACCAGCAATCTTCCGGAAAGGTCTGTATGTGTGAATAGGCCCTTTTTGAAAATACTGGTAAATTCGTTCCGGCTATAATCCGCGAAGAGAAGTTGTAATATTACCAGTAATTCACCAGAATGCTGCGCTGTGTGAACGCAGAAGGAAGATTGCCGAAAAGAGACGGGGGGACTTCTAGTTTAGCCAATCAAAACATTTAGACACATTCAAATCTGCGCTGTTCGTGAAGATAAAATTTATTATTTTTCTGGAATATTTTTCCAGACACATTTAGCTGCTAGATGTTAGTCAGATAACGTTTATATGTTCATTCTTAATGCCAACTGTGTAAAAAATGATCGATAAGATGGTATTTTGGAATTGATGTGTGAACGGTCTTTTCCAGAAAAAAATACCGTCATGTTCTTATCTGGGTGAACAGCGCTTTTTTTTCAATTTGTCCAGATATTTACCTGTATGACTGTGTGAAAGGGGCTAATGTCAAGACGATCTGCTGCAGCTCAAACCGAGCATCAGAATGGGGAAGAAAGTTGATTTAAGTGACTTTGAATATGGCATGGTTGTTGGTGCCAGACGGGCTGGTCTGAGTATTTCATAAACTGTTGATCTACTGGGATTTTCACACACAACCATCTCTAGGGTTTACAGAGAATGGTCTGAAAAAAGAGAAAATATCCAGTGAGCGGCAGTTCTGTGGGCGCAAATGCCTTGTTGATGTGATAGGAGAATGGCCAGACTGGGTTGAGCAGTACAACATCCAAAGAAGGGAGAAGAGCATCTCTGAACACACAACACGTCCAACCTTGAGGCAGATGGGCTACAGCAGCAAAAGATCACACCGGGTGCCACTCCTGTCGGCTAACAACAGGAAACTGAGGCTACAATTCACACAGGCTCACTATAATTGGACAATAGAAGATTGGAGAAACATTCCCTGATCTGATGAGTCTCGATTTTTGCTAAGACAATCAGATGGTGGGGTCAGAATTTGGCATCAACAACATAAAAGCATGAATCCATCCTGCCTTGTATCAATGGTTCAGGCTGGTGCTGGTGGTGTAATGGTGTGGGGGATATTTTCTTGGCACACTTTGGGCCCATTAGTACCAATTGAGCATTGTGTCAACGCCACAGCCTACCTGAGTATAGATGCTGACCATGTCCATCCCTTTATGACCACAGTGTACCCATCTTTTGATGGCTACTTCCAGCAGGATAATGCACCATGTTATAAAGCGCAAATCATCTCAGACTGGTTTCTTGAACATGACAGTGAGTTCACTGCACTCAAAT